GCATAAAACATAGTAATCCCTCCATCACGTGTCTTAACAACGCATGCGCAATGATACGCTCAAATTCACTCATTTTACTACGCGTTTAACCTCATACGCAACATGTACTCTTTCCTGCCGTACTTATGTATTTAAATTGCATGACATACAACATACAACATATTTTGGTAATAATATGGATGCATACAGATATAAAAATATATGAAATTTGTCGTTTTCGTCGTAACACATACAGACTTTGAATGGTCTCAAATAATACAGACAATCAGGTATAATGATGTCTGACGATCGATGCTGAACAGGGAATATAACTTATAAACTTCAATAATATTTTTTTCTATGCAACGTTTCCCAGTCATTTTCAATTAACTTAATATGATAATATTTGGTGTATGTGATTCTCTCGCTATTATAATAATAATTATAATCATGAAAATATTATATTTTGTTCGTTCTAAAGCATATAAAGATATATATAGATATAATACTATAGAATAAAGTTATTTAAAAAAAAATGTATATAATATAAAGAAAACCTCGATTATTGAAAATTGATTTAAAAATAAAAAGAAAATAAGAACATTTCTATAAAAGAGAACTTTTTACAAAATATCGTAAAATTTATAGATTGGGAAACGTTGATTTATTTAATCAACATACGACAATAATACGTAATATTATTTTGTTATAAAACAACGAATTGTTTAAAAAGATTACTTATTAAAATAAGTAATATTCAATATCTTTGTTCGTAAAAAAAAACGATTTCAATTATTTTTATGTTATTATAAGATGTTTAATTGATTTATGGTCAAAATATTAATGCAATATACATTTTTAAAAAATTTTTATGTTTTAATTCAAAATATAATTATTATCAAACAAAAATGTAAAAAAATATTTTTCTAATTAAAAAAAAGATACTTAACCTTAATACTCTACTGTGAATAATAATTCCAAATAAAAATACATAAAATAAATTTAATATATATCATACATATTCAATAAATACGTTATTATTGTCGTTGCTTGATTCCATCATATATCCAATGTTGTATTTCTAATTCATTCATGGATATTTATTAAATATATTTTTTGTTTTATATAATGCTTCACTCATGCTGGTACTTAATCGCATCAATATCATTTCATCCGATATTCGAATAATTTCTAATATTTCAGAATATATTTACCAATCCAAATAACGATTCAATCCATTAAATTAATACATTTCCAATGTAATGTGTTTTCTCTATTTCCTATTAGATGAATTGAATTAATTTATCATTATAATTAATACACGCTTATGTTCAGACAAATATTATATTAATGCGAAATATTAGATATATAAATAATAATTTTGAGAAAATTATATATGATATTTGATTTGTAAAATAAAATTAAGTATAATAAAATACGCAATTTAAACTAATTCAAAATAAAAGATCATGACAAATAGGGAAAGCAATGCAAAAAATAAAATAATTATCTGGAATAAGAATTGAAATTTATGAAATAATAATTTGAATCTATTGCAATTATGTTATCTGAAATTTTGATATCAAGGAAATTCAATGGAAAACAATTATGCTATCGCAATGCATTTCGTTCTAATAAATGCGCAAGAAAATAAGGAAACAAAATATGTATATCTTTATAATACCGTCACAATAATCGATTAATATTTTATATTTTTTCCTGTAAGACAAAAGTTTGTCCATTTTAGCTCTTTGCAAATGTATGCATATCAACCGTATTTTTGTAAAACTTCTAGAAATTAATTTCATCCGAAATTCACGCTGCCGATAGTTCGTCTCATAACATAAAATTTTTTTGCAATGAATCGCGATAAAAAAATGGATTAAATCGCAGAGAGTTAAAATACATGGACGAAATTTGTCAACGATAGAATGCTTTACCATTTGAGTGCAAATAATCATGATTGCATTCCTCGATACTTGGACAAAAATACGAAAAGCACGATATGCTTCTCATATTTCTACCAATATAAAACAATTGTTGAATGCAATTAAGCAATATCGCACGTCCGGCAGTTGTCTTTTTATTGACAAAATTGTTCGTGATTCACTGTTATTTGATCAGTATCAATTAATAAACTTTTTAAATAGTGTTAAAAAATAAAGGCAACATTTCTTTCTATCTTAAATCCTTTAATCCTAATTCCTAAAACTCTCTTTTCTATTTAAAATTTTAACTTTAGATACATATAAAATAGTTTTGCACTCAAATGGTTCAATCGACAATTATCGCGATAACAAGATCGATAATCATGTTAAGATCGTTTTGCAGTAAACAAGTAAGTCAAAACGATCAGACTGAAATTAACGTAAAGTATAATAAGTTTATTGATTAACTAAAAATCAAGCGCGTATTTTTTAGTAAACATTGCTAATATAATAATACTATAAATGAATTAAATTTTTTATTTTAGATATATAATATTCATAGGAGGCAATTAGAAAACATCAAGTTTCCTAATTGTTGATATTTATAACTTGCTTCTTTTGTATTTTTGCTCATTTGTTATAGAAAAATCAAATATTAAATTATTAATCATTTGTGCAATTATCTTAATAATTTATCAATTCGACTTTTTATACGATTATTTGAATATAATTATTTAAAATTGTTTTAGAGGTTAGAATTACTCGAAATATGTTTTGTAAAATGTGTCAATGGAAAGATATACAAAAAAATAAGATATAATATTATGAAAGTTACTACTAAATGTAATTATTATCAAAATATTTCCATAAAATTGTATTAATTAATATTCTGTTAATTTCTTTTCTAGTATTGATAGTTAAAAATATTTTTTGTATCACAATGTTTTATATTTTCTATGCGTGCTTTTATAGCATAAGCGGACTAATACGAGTATTCATTCATACTTAGATATTCATACTATCCGGATATATAATACAAATGTGTAAAGTAATATTTGTTACCTGAATAAGTACCTGAGTTATTTTAGCTTTCAAAATATAAAATTGTTTACAAAACTAGATAAACAGGAATTTAACATAATAAACAAAAAATATTTAAGGAATATTTTTTAAATAAGAATATAATTTATATCCAAATCAGTAATTATTTAATATTATCTTAAATATTATTACTAAGAATATTAGTTTTATTCGGATAATATGAGTATCCATTGCTTGGAATACGCATTAAACTATTTTATATAATAATTGATATATAAAAATTTAATTTTATAATCTTAATGTTAAACAATGGAATGTTTTCTTTAATTGCGTTTATATTTACATAAAATATATTTTTTTATTATGTTTGTGCCAATTATAATTTTTTATTTAATATAATTAAATAAAAAACAAATAAATAAAAATAATTTACTATATATGAACTATATCATATTTAAATTGAATGAGAAATTAAATTTGAAATTATGATTAATGGCACAAAATAAAATGAATTACAAATACTATACTTAAATTTAGGAAGAATATGAATTAAAATTATTTTATGAAACAAATTTTTAAATTATTATAAATAATTTTTTATAAATGAATATATAATTTATTAGTTATAAAACAAGAAATATTATAAATAACAAAAATAATGAATATGAAATTTAAAAAATAATTTTAATATTAATAGATTAATAGATTTATATTAATTACAATTATATAAATATGCTTAAATATATTTCTTCAACAAATAACTTTATTAAAATACTAAAATATATATATATATTTATATTATTTTATAATATATATATTATTTTATAATTACAAAATTGAAAGACTTTTTGGCACTTACAGCTTTTTTATAGATTCACAATTAAAATTTAATTTTAGCTTATTGCTAAGTTTTAATACATATACTTATTCTCATGTATTAAATAGAATATTTATGTTATAAATAAAAATATAAAATA